CCCTTTAAACTTCATCTTTCATCTTAAACTTTTCTATCAAGTAGAAATTCTCCCAGATATTTAGAAATGTCTGTGTAAAGTGCTTACCCACATTCATGTGGGTAAAAGATCATAGTTGTACAGTTATAAATGTCTGTTGGTGCAGCAACGGAGAAATCATGGCCGTATGATTTTTCCTGATTGATTGCTTTGTTGTTATTTTCATAATTTGCCAAATTAATGTAAATGTTTGATGTTAAATTTGATTCTGTAAATAAATGACCGCATTCATTTTGATGGGTCAAATTTAAATGACGTCTCACGTTTGCATTTCCTTAAATTCAATGCACGTTTTATTCAGTCCAGAAAAATGAGGAACTCGCGTTAAATGATGAATATATCCCAGCATCTGTTCATCTACACCTGCTTATTGAGAAATTGTTTCGAGGATGGACTGGAGGATCGTGGTGGTTCTGGCAGGTTCCAGGACAGTTAACCAGGCTCTGATGAACCAGCAAAGGTCTTGGTAAGATGTAGTTTGTTCTTTAGGCTGTAGTAAATCTTTAACTCTGTTAGAACAAAGTGTTTTTATTCCATCAGTGCTTTGTGTTTGCAGGCAACACATGTTCCAGTGGATCCTCATGGAGAGAAACAAGATGTTTCGCTCTGATAACACAGAAATTTAGGAATGGGCGAAAAAAATCATTATTGAGTCTGAACAGTTTGAAGGTAAAAGTATCAACTTTAAATCAAAGGGCCTCTTTTGCAAATTGGACCACACTAAAATATCATGGCAAAAAATAATAAAATAAAATGACTATTCCATCCACTCAACTCCTATACTTTCCCATAGTGAGGTTATTTTAAAGTGAAGGTATCTTAGTGCGCAACAGTTCTTTATACAGTTGTTTTCCAGGTAAAGCCTTCAACATCACCAGTGTATTTAATTATGCTGCTACAAACATCTTATCAGCTCTGGTGTTTATTTGATTAGAGATCAGGCCTTCCAAGATATGACGGAGAGACGAGCTTATTCGTCTGATGGGATCAGCTTCTCTGGGTAAACTGAATTAATGATTACAATATAGTTTGCATACAAGACTGGAAAATCTCACCAACAGGGTTTGGTGATAAGAAAGCCTTTAGATGATGAGTAATATTTCTGAACTTTGATTAAAAATGTGTATTTTTGTAGTGGTGATAACAGCAGAGGACAGTTGACTGATAAAGGGGCAGGATGACCTGAACTCAGCAGCATTGTACACACTTTAATCAGATTTCTCTGTTTTAGCTCTTTGATCTTCACTTCCCCCCACCTCCCAGGTTTATAACTATTTTTCTTGGTTAGGCCCTTTCCTTAAAAATCAGTGGGATTAAAACTTTGGAAGCTAGTAAAGAACATGTAAGGAAGATAATAGTAGATCCAAAGGAAACTGGACCCTGAAGTGTGCAGATGCTTCGTTAATGCTTTTCTGATCCGTAAGAAACGGCTGGAGGTGAGAAATCAAATTTCCAACAAGTCAGTTTTATAAATGCTGAAGAAAAATCTCCTTTTTGTGACTAGGGTTCTGGGAGTGAAGACTTGCTTAATGATGACCTCCACTGTGTGATAAATCCGCTTAAAGCTGGAAATATTACAACAAACACCCTGAAGTGGATTCTGCTTTACATGGCCAAGTCCGCTCATGTTCAAAGTGGAAAGATTATTTTGATCTCTCTGTTTAATTTGTGCGTGTTGCAAGTGTTAGAACGATCTCTCATGTGCATCCAGATTGTGTTCAGGAGCTGATCAGGGTGGTTGGAAGCTGGCAGATTCTAAAAGAGGACATTTGCACAGACGCAGTTATTCAGTCAGAGACGTGCAAACATTGTCCCTTGCTATCCCTCGTGCCACGAGCCAAGATAACACCTTACAATGCTACTTCATCAAGGAGGTCTGAAGCTCACATCCATGTTTGTTTCACTATTCTTTGCTGTATCTGAAGAAATCAACTTGCTCTGAGACATTTCTTTTCAACCAACAGGGAACAGTTCTTCTCACGTCTGTCCTGTATGAGTGAATGAGTCCTCACAGTTTCAACCCTTCTCATTTCCTGGATGAGTGTCGATTCATCAGAGAGATGCTTTCATGTGTTTTATGTGGGTACTTTGCAAACTTTCATTATATTAAGACAGATTTTGGTGCTTTTACAGAAAGTTTTCATAAAGTTTTATTTTAATGATGTTGGCCCTAGTAGCCTTTTATTTAGTGACATGATTAAATTATCCAAAATGTTTTTTAAACTACTCTTTTTTTTTTTAACAAGCTCACACAGTGTTAGGAAAATGAACAGTTTGTATTGCATGTTTCAGTAATAAAGGATAAACGGATACAAAACTTACAAGAACTATGTCTACAAAAAGCATTATGTTTTTTCCTCTATATATAAATATATATATATATATATATAAATAAAAGCAAAAGACCACATTATTAAAGAACAGCACTGCAATCAATGCCATCGCTGTCTTTGTTGAAAATTATCTTTTGAAATAAAATTTAAATAGGCAAAAATCATCATTTAACTCTGAAAATGTGTATCCAAATAACAATGTTACAGTCGATATATAAAAAACAGTCACAATTTAAAGATTACTAATCGCTCTGGAATCTTATTCCCTCTAAGGTCCTTCCACTTTGATGTTACTGATTTGTTGATCGTGTGAAGCGTGGTTAGCGTTTACGACCTGCTGGGGAGACACGCTGCAGTCCGCAAAAGCCCTCGTTGAACAGCTGCTGGAGAAGTCAGCTGTTTTACTCTCTGGCGTTCTGAATGTCTGTGCCTGGCTGTAAGTAGAGACGTATGACGGTGTGTAAGGTGGAATATGTGTTTGACTGGTTTGCTGCGAGTACTCCGATGCATATGGTTGTGTCTGAGGGGGCGTGTGAGTAAGAGGAAGGCTCTCTGCGTTGCTGCACGGTGGAAACCCATTTATGCTTGTAGGGCTCAGTCCTGGAACTTTAAATGTCTCAACATTTCCTAAGCTTTCTAAAGAGCTGTAGCTCGGCTGAGTTTGGTTGCACTGGGTGTATGCGCCTTGAGTAAAACTGTAGGTGTCCTGATTAAATGAGGTAGAGGCCGAGGCTGCTGGCAAAGCAGAGAGTGATGGAGTTTTGTTGAGCTGATGCTGAACACTGTTACAGTGTCCTGTTTTGGAAGCGATGGTTTGTAGAGTGCTCAGGATCTGCTTCTGAATCTGCGTCTGCTGGGACTGCTCCCTTTCCAGACGACACTGCTGCTCCACGAGCATCTTCACGGCCAGTCCCAGGCTTCGCACTTCAGAGCCCAGAGTCTGGATCTGGTCCTGCAAAGTACCTCTCCCTCTGGTGTCCGGGATCGCCTGCGGTGCGCTTGGACTCCCCTCACTACGAGTGACACCCTGACTCCTTGGAGATTGCAGACGAAGAACAGCGCCAGGCACCGAGGTTGTCAAAGGTGCTGGGGGACGATTAGGAAGACGGATCCCAACACGTGGAGGAGGCTGAAGGGAACGGACACTCGGTCCTGGTCTTTGTGTTGGGAAGCGGCGAAGGGAATTGGAACTTTCAGTCTGGCTCTCATTAATAATCTGTAATACAAAAAACAAACAAACACTGAATTTAAGTAATGGCTATTGTGTAAAAATGTAAAAAGGTCAACTATTGACTTTTGCTGAGGCTTTTGACCAGTTGTGGAATGTGTACTTAGATTGTCTAATAATTATATTTTGGTTTAAAGTCCACCTTAGCATGATCAGGCTCCCGTATTCTCCTTCATAAAGACATGTCTTGCTGCTGTTTAATTAATTTCACAATCCAAGTTAAATAGATATGGTATTTAATTAATTATACACCAACATAAACACAAGATATCATAAAAATGTGAGAAGCAAAATAATTGAGTTTTGTGGTATCTAAGATTTGCAGGATTCTTACTTTTTCCATGGTCAGGTCATAAGTTTGAGGCGGCTGCACAAGACCACTGCTCAAGTCAGAACTCTGGACGCCTGAGAGATCTCTTCTTACCAGTGGCGCCACCTAGTGGAATGGCAGAAGAATAATTTAGACAAAGATGATGTGGATTAGAACAACTTCTAAACAACAACAAAAAATACAATAGAGGCTTTAAGAAGTTGTGTTTAAGCGTGTACCTTTGTTTTGTGGAACAACGCTTTATCCAAAAGTCTTTTTCGTGCTGCCAACATTGAACTGGTGGCTGGTGAAGGTGTGACTCTCCTCCTTATGAATGCTGCAGAAGATGGTAACGTGGAAGACACAGGACTTGTTTGTGCTCTTGTTACAGTAGGCTGGGTAACTCTCTGCTGACCACGCTGTGCAAGGGAAGTGACACTAACAATCTGGATGTCGTTTTCTTCCTTGTTTGACACTCGTTGGTGCTCTGCTCTGCTGTTTCTACTGCTCTCCTCAGATGCAGAAGACTTTGCACTAGTCTCTGAAATTGTGGATGCCTGCTTGGCAAAGTCTGTGGGGGCTGCACGCTCAGCTTGGTGAGAAACATCCCTCATTAGGTTATGAAGATGAATATTGCTCCAGCTCTCTCGTAATGCACTGGTTTGAGCCTGCACCTGGGGTGCTAATGTGGCCCCTCCAGCCTCTGCAGGTTTAACTCTCCCTGGTGGCCTCCCTTGGACCTCTCTCAGGTATAGATAGATGGCCTGAGCAGACACCTTGATGTTCTCCAGTTCCAGCACAGCTTTGATCTTGCGGAAACTGAGACCAGCCTTCCGCAGCTCCACCACTTTGTGCTTGGCAGCATCATCCAGCCGGCCCATGGTCATTCACTTCAGAAGGATCCTGTGAGTTCAGCTGCTCATCTCTAGAAAAATCAATCAATAAAAACTGTCAGTAACAACTGATGTAATTTGACAAATGTAGCATACATTTTGTGTTAATATTTTAAGTGTCACTGCTTTGACCTTTTTTTTTTTTTTTCGTGTAAAAGATCTAGTAAAGTAAGTGAAGCCTTGTTCATTTCAGCTGAGATGTACAGTAAAGTGGTCATCTTCTATTTGGAACATTAAATAAAAAGCTGTCTGAATGTGTGTGTGAAAGGGAAAAATGTCAAGTATTAGTTGAGTAAAGGCTTCACATGTCTCCTGATGAGCTGGCATTTCTATTTACTTTGCATTTTGTGTTTTAAAAAGTGCTACACAAATAAAGTGAAACAATTTGAAACTAAACTAATACACACACACATATCCTATATCTTCTTCACTGTGTTGCAATAGTTATTAAAAATAAATGCCGTTTAACATTAACCCCTTAACTAACGAGGGAATGAAAGGGACATTTCAAACTTTCGACTTCAGATCATTCTGCTTGGCTCATCATTAGAAATTTCCTTTAAGGTTAAAATTCACAGGGATGCATACTGCACAAGCATTAATGTGTTTGTGTCCCTCATACTTTGAGGCATTAACAAAAGCATTACATGCATGCCCCTGTCCACTTAGCTAAATCACTTTTTCTTCCTGCATTCATTTAGGTTTAGATAAAAAACAGGTTTCACCAAGACAAAAACTGAAGTGCAATTAAATAAATAGTTATAAAGCAGCTACAAGGACATGAGTGTCTCTAAAACCTGTGGTTTATTTACTAGTTTATTAACCTTTTGAAATAGTTAGCTATCAGTGCTCTAAATGATGTTGATTATATGAAAGTAGAATATGACAGATAAATAAATACGTCATAACTATATAGTCCAATCTAAATATATATATATATATATATATATATATATATATATATATATAACTTGGTAATGTTTCAGTTTACTGATAATGTGGGCATTCACACGACTGAGTTTGTCTGAATTACACTGATACTAACTAAAAGTCGAGGCAAAACAATGATTCTAACTGTAATAAGTAACTCATTAATTCATAGTTTGCGCCACTTATTATTGATCCCAATCCATTTCACGAGTAAATCAGATCAATGCAGGATTCGTTCAGCATTTTTTAGCTGAGCTAGCTGACCACATACATAATAATTATAAAGTGCTGCGCTCACCCCGCCAAGTCTTAATGCTCAAAAAAAGGAAGCTCGAGCGTTGTTTTAACTAATTTCACACACAACAATGACGTTGTTTGTTTTTAGACTCCAACAGAACCATCAGCGGCCATTTTCTTCTTCGTGTGTTCATTTTGGCGGTTGTTGGTTAACGTGTGGTGTTGCATTACCGCCACCTGCTGGTACGGAGTGTGGGTCAGAATCTGTTTACAATCTGGTGTGTTTATCAAAGTCAAAGTCACTTTATTGTCAAAAGCTGCAATATGTACAGGACATACACAGGATTGAAATTACATTTCTCTCAGACCCCGGTGCAAGAATAACCATTTAACATTAAAACATTTATTAAACATAAGCATAAAATGAAATAATAAAAGCATGATACTGTCTTAAATTGTACTATACGGTGTAAAAATATTTAAAAAAGTATATCTATAAAATAAAATGAAATGTGATGAAAATGAAATGTTGTTCTTAATCATATTCTATTAAACTGCTTTGTTTTTCAGATTAACTTAATTATAATTTAAATACTTTTACTTCCTGATGCTTTTTGTAGTGCATTTGTGACATTAAACGTTGATTTAATCTTTCTAATTTCTTCCATCATGCATCTTCTCTCTCATATCTCTGACATAAATAAATAAAACCCCGTGCTCTGTTGCTTCAGTCTCCACAATGTTGACACTTTCCTGTTTCATGCTGTTTTATTCTGAATAGTGTATTGTTAAGTCCAGTGGGTCCAAATCTTATTCTTGTTAATAATATATCTTCTCTTTTGTTTCTCCTTCCTGCTTCCATCTCTTTGAATCTTAAAATACCTTTGTTTTTTTCAGTCCATTCTTTCTGCCACTTTTCATTCAGCTGTTGTTTAACGGTGCTTCTTGCTTCTGATTTGCTTGTGGTCATTGTAAAGTTGACTTGTTCTGTAGCTGCCATGTCTGCTACTTCATTTCCCTCAACCCCAATGTGTGCTAGTACTCTTAGACATGTAGCTTTCAAACCCATCATGTGTATTTTGAATAATGATTGCTGTATTTCTTTAAAAAAAAAGTCTGGTCTGCTTTCTGAATGGTTGTGCTGTAAACTTGTAAGTGCTGAAGTTGAATCTGAACAAACTATTGTTTTTGATGGTAGTACTTCTATCCACTGGACTGCTAATAATAATGCTAACATTTCTCCGGTGTATACTGACTGTTCATTTGTAAGTCGGTGAACTTGTTTCATCTGAAATTCTGGCATAATGATTGATATTGATGTTTTCTCTATTAGGTCTTTTGATGCATCTGAATAAATCTGAAGAAAATTATAATAGCTATTTATATATTCTTGTACTGTGTATTACCGGTAATTAAACATGTATCTTTTATCTTCTCTGTAAGTGTTAAATCTACGTTTACAGTTGGTAGTATCCATGGTGGTATTGTTGGTCTTGGTACTGTTGGACTTCTTCCACCTTCTGATCGATCACCCACCCAAAGCTTCTTGTGTCTCTCTAGTTTTTCCCAACATGGCTTTAAAATGTCTAGTGTTGGATGATCTGGGTTATTACCTTGTAAAATGATCCAATAATTTATTGCTAGTTGCATTCTTCTTAATTCTAAAGACATTTCTCCCTTCTCCACTTTAAGTGCTGCTGTTGGGTTGGTTCTGCATGTATCTGTACAGATCCTTAATGATTGGTGTTTTATATTGTCAGGTTTCTCCAGATGTGTTTTAGATGATGATCCATAAATTATACCACCATAATCTACATTTGCCCTGATGAATCCTGTATTTATTCTTTTAAATGCTGTTCTGTCTGCTACCTATTCGTTTCCCACCAAACATCTCATGATATTTAAGACATTTATCAATAATTTTCTGATGAGTATATTCCATAGTATTTCATCACCATCACCTTATTCCTACAAATGTTATGCTCTTAACCATTCTATTTCTTGATTATATAATTATTTTTCCCTTTATTTATTAATTCTGACATGCAATTTGACATATCAGGTTCCGTTGATACAAGTGGTATTAAATTTTTATATATATATATATATATATATATAACTTATAACCAATCCCTAT